TTGGTAGATCACCAAACAGGGGCCCGATACACCCCATGAAATCGGCACAATTGCTTGACTGCAATGACCCGCCGAGGTGGGATACTGTCGCCCAACACTTCACTGGAATTGGATACACCCGAAGCCCCCAGTTGGCACTACGAATTAGTAGTTCGGCAAGCCAGGCGTGGGCTGTGTGTACCGAAACGACCACCACTCGACAACCGGCAGACATACTAGGTATGCACAAGGCTATGGCTGTGTGATGACCCACGTCATCTGGGTGTCACAGCTTGCATCTAGCACTGCCAGATATCCAGGGAGACAAGCCCGAATTTCGGACTAGAAGCCCGGATTGTCTGCCGATTATACACGGTAAAAGGAACAAACTAATGACACTTCACATCCTGGGATACGACACGGATACACGACAGCGATGCTCCGGTGAACGGAATACCAAGAAGAGCTAGAGGGACCGAAACACTGCATTCGGCAACAGTTCCATGATGAAAAGGTTCCGGTACCGGTATAAGTAAACAACAGGGATTGTTAAACAGAGTTGAACGTGGTAGACATTGGATAATTTGATATTTGTGTATTCTTTTCAGAAGGACCTATGAAGAGAAACAATATAGCCACTGAAGACTATGGTTAATCTGAACGGACCAGCACACTTTCGATTGCAGTTCAGCTGATACAAATAAAATCGCCCACCCCACTGCTGACGGTGATGAATGTCGTTTTCTGTATTTCTTATTCAAAGTAGGCGTTTCAGGCTGGTGATGCAGCGAGTCCAATCCCACATGTACGATCTCGTTACGGTGGTGTGAGATAGCCTGTGTCAGCGTCACTCACGCAGCTTACTAACAGAATTGGAACAGTCGTTTAGTGCACGTGCTGAGCAACGTTTCACCTTAGACACAAAAATCCATCGGTGCACCAATATAACGGTCTTTCGTAGTGAAGGCTGCGGAGGCTTACGAGGACATGGGAATGTGTCAGAAAGCCTTTAAGGTCACACGTCAAGATTTCGTCTCTACTGGAGCAGTCCCATTAGAAGTACTTCACGCGTTTCAACATACATCGATAAATGCAACTGAATTTGTGATAACGAACAATGCAGAATTGTCTACCTAGTGAGAATTGAGGTTACCCACCATTTCAAATAGACAACCGATAACCCACGTTGTACCGGATGCATGATACACCTATATAGCCGCTAGTAGCCATATCTAATTGCAGCTGCTTTAAAGAAACCAGCGTTTGTTCCACCTCAAGGAAGATTAAGCTCTCATTGGTGCATTGAAAATAGACAGTTGACTTTCCGGCCCTCACTCTTGAAATCTACTGATCCCACATATTATATGAGCATTGGCCGTGCTGAGATTTAAGCCTGGTGATGAAAATAGTGTCAGCCGTACGCCGTAACGTCGCTCCGCTGACACGCGACCACGACCATTCGCACGCGGGCTCAGTATTCCGCGAGGACGCCCACTCCTACGCGGATTCGAACCGGTGACCTTAGGATTGCAAGCCAGGCGTGCAGACCACTGGTCCACCTACCGGATTTAAGCCTACGTAGTCTAATATGAACCTGATAGAGCTTCGTTTATACGTTAACCTGGAAGCCTGCAAAAATTCAGCTCTTCTCACTTATTTGGACTTTAACGTCCACACGCATGCAAGCAAACCGACGGGAAACGGAATAGCACTGTTACTGTGTTCGCGTGTTCGCCGAGCTTCGTAACTGGTATGCACACCTTTCCTCACCTCATTGCGCTGCTGGGCCAAATGTAATCCGCTGATTTGGTCGTCGCTTTGAGATCGATCAATAAATGACTTTGAATCGACCTTGATCTGTACCCCGTGACCTTTACCGGTCTGCCCAATTCTGAGAGACACGGGTGATCCGTGGGATAGTTTTACCCCGGCTCTTGCAGTTGTGTCGTTGATGGCTCGTCTAGCTGCCCACGATGGTATTGAAGTTGTTTTAGTTTTATCCCGTCTTAATGCCTAGTAAACTGGGTCAATCTCGATGTACATGTTTATCGAGTGCTTCGTCGAGTACCATGCTTCAAGGAACACTCTTTCTTTTCGTGTTCGTCCTTGTGCTAGAACATCTGCTTTCTTCCAATCGAAGCGATATTCTTCTTCGTCCGTATGTAATGAAGCAGTAAGAGAGCGTAGTGATTCTTAAAACCTCTTTTATGTTTTTCATTTTTGCTGTCAGTTGTCTTCCTGTCTGACCCACAGTACTTAATGGAATCTTGACACCGTAGCTTGTAAACAATATTTCGTCTTTCATGGGCTCCAGATTTAGCTTTGGGTTTCGACATGGTTCTCTTCAATGTGTCAGTTGTTTTGTGAGCCACTGGAAGACCGTGCTGTTTGAATAGTCTTGCTGTCATCTCGATAATCTGTGCATAGGGTAGAACGGTTCTCTACGTTGTTGTTTGAATAGGCTGAGAGGTCATAGCTTTGTTGTTTAGACATCGCTGGACGAAACTGTGGATATTCATTTGGGTCAATTGATCTAAAGAGATATATCATTTTTCGCTTTGTCTCAAGAGTACTACAATGTGTTCACTTCTACGGAAGAGTTCGCAAGCAGCTTATTTTGTGACATTTCGGGTGGTTACTGTGGTACTTTAGAATCTGATCGGTGTGTGTTCCTTTCCGTTAAACCGATGTTTGCTACGCTCCGTCAATCGCCCTTGTGACTTACACATCCAAGAAGAGGAACTGGCCTTCTACCGCCGATTCCATCATAAAATGAATGTAATCGATAGCGTTATGGAGGAACTGGTATGCACTGTTTCGACTATAGATATTCGTCTTGTTTTTACTGTTAACTCTGATACAGGCTTAGTTGTTTAGAGTTATTTGCTTCATCTCTGTGACGCTCTGCTTTGTAGGCTGAATGAAAATGCATAGGATGTTTGGACAGAGCTGAATATGCCCTACTTCAAGTCTGACTTCCGGTATTGACAGTCGCAGCTGATCAAGACAGGTGATTAGATTAAAACCGCACAGAGTCTCCATCAGCTAGGTTGCTGCTATCGCTCATTGGCGGAATTATTATTATTAACGAGTGCATGTGGGTTGTCAGTCATTTATTTAGCATGTCTCCTAAATGGCCTAGTTTTCCTACCAATGCAGTTAATTCCCTTTAGTAATTTCAATGGTTTAGCAAGAAGAAGAATGCTGGTAGATGCACGCATTTCGAATTTTTTCCCCAATATCACTGACCGAATGTGAGTGCATGTCTAATTACGGGTGTGATTAAATAAGCTTAAGGTGTGAAGGGAATAACAGAAGTTCCACTCCTATATCCATGGTAGGCTTAAGCTGAAAAATATTTGTACTTGAGCGCACAAAGATCGTTTCATCCGGCCTATTGTTACAGCTTCGGCGAAACGAAGCAAGCAGAGATTTTGTTGACGCAACACAATTGTGAATACGTCTCCGAGCTCTATCCGCTGACGGGTGACCAGTAGATGTATAACTACTAAAGAAACTTGACACGTCTTCCTTATTTGGAGAAGTCAGAGCCACAATTGCATTCGAATCGTTGCTCCTGATTGGCTATGCTTTATTTGTTGGTGGCAACGGCAGATTATGGGATCGGTTAATAACCTCGAGTTGAGCAGTATTGCAGCACCCATACGTACCAGAGATCAAACGCTTAGTGACCTTCGGCATACTGAAGTCGCCCTTGAAAGGAACTCGATATATATCTTACTCTTGACTTCCGTATGCACCATGTCCCTTGGGCCTCGATGATGGCTGTGCTTATCTAAAAATCTGTGGTGTTAAGCATTCGCCATGAGTGAAGTTGTGATTAACTATATCTCCTTTGCCAGACCGTAGTCTAGTATGACTCCGGCAAATGCAGTAACATGAACTTCTAACTAGTCAGAAACACTACCGCACATGCTACTTCCAACTTACTTGTGCATGCGTCCTTTCGATAATCGAGTTATTTAATTCAATCAAATGCCTTAAAAATACTCATTCTTTTGTGCCACTAAATGCCAGTCAGATCTGATTTTAGGTGCAACAGTTCCCAGGGTTACGATCGGTCTAGCAAAGACTTACTGGATTCATACGGAGACCCGTGCCAACTAAGCACTGAATTGTGTAACCAGTTCATTTGCCAACTTGATTGTCTATTCAGCTCTACCTTATTAAAACGACAGTGCGCGGACTGACTATTCCGTTGATCCGTCTAGGTCTGAAAGGTGTACCGTCGAACATCTCGGGTACGTGACCGTTTCCGTAAAAACTCTTTGAGGTGGAGATTAGTAAGAAGTGGGGCTGTTGGGTTGCAGTAATACAGCAATTGGCCCACCAGTCCCTTCCTCGTAATTTACGATGAAACTTTGTGGCTGAATGACAGGTGAGCTGTATGAGAATCGCCTGAGTCCTTTAGTCTCGAATCCCGCCCTACGGGCTAATCAAGGAGAATTTCCACTTGGTATCGCAGTACTGCTACATATGGCCGTCCGGTTCCACTAAGTGTGTGGTCGTGTCTCCTTTGTTACATTCCAACGAAGGCCCTACCCAACAACCATGACGGCATTAGGATACGCTAATTGCTAGGATGCGGGTGTATTCACAGTGCTCGCTCATTTGGTTAAACCATTGACCTGAGACTGGCTTGATGTGTATTTTTCATCATGTATTTAACACCTACTCGCTTGACATCATGCTCGCATGCGATGTGGCAATCCGGACTAACATTAATCAAAACTAACACTCCGGTTGGCTAGAAACGTTATCATAAACAAATTTTCCAAACTTGCTGCGAAATTCACATTCTCTTTCTCATTCCATGAAGCCGTGAGGGCTGTTTTTGTATAGACTACAGAGCTGTGTTCATACCCACAACCTTTAGTGTTGCCATTTTTTGATGGCATTACCAACTAGCATAATGCCAGTTTGTTACCTAAGGATACTAGAAGTCAGTCGGTTCCAATCTGTTCACCGTCAATCGAAACACTACATCACTTTTTTTCCAGCCGCGTCGCTCACCTTCTTCATGGGATTTGCGTGATCGTAACCTTCAGGACGCCCAAGAGCGATGGTACGTCGGTAATAGTATCATTGCGTAATTGTTTTTAAAATAGCTTGTCGCATATATCATCTCCCACTCACAACGCTGGCGTACTTACGAGATAGACAGCTGCTTCTTGTTTTAGACACATCCTTCTTAGCTCAAAAATCTTGCCTACCTGTCATCTTTTCTAATGAATATAACATCAATCTAACACTGATATGGTTGCATGAGACAACACCTTGTGCACGAATACCAGATTTACACTGTATCATCTCTAGAATTCAGCAACTATTGAAGGGTAGCTATGAAAACAGGATCGCGTTAATTGAGAACCTGGTAGAAGCTTGCAGACCAGTATGCTTTCAAGTGTTAGACTATCGACATACAATGGCTAACATTCTTTCCGCAATATTATCCACGCCATTCGCTCGGTCTTAAGTAACAAGCTACGCTTTTGAAGCGTGTAGTGGTTTAATCCGTCCACCAGCCCAATCCTCCCACCCTTTGCATGCTGTCCATCGAATTTGATCCCAAGATATCAGTTGTGTACAGGTTACAAGAATTCCCAGGACGGGAATCCCTCAGTCACTGGAGTAAGAATGAGCATAATAAAATAGTGATGATGTAGACAAGTGTGTGTCTCGGAAACGTGAGATACAGTCTATTGAAGCTGGTCCTGCTAGAACGCACAAGTCACAATCAGAACTGTTAGTGCACACTTGTTCATCAAACGCGAAGAAATTCGGTACATTTTGCGCCCAAATATCATGTTGAGATTTCCTGTGGAAAAGCACTCTTCTCTGGTAATAGTCATCGCATTCTAACCTCAGAGGAATTGTGGTTACGAAAGCCGTAATGAAAAGAAACATAATAATTATAAGTAGATTGTAAAGCAATGGTTTTATTGGGAATTGGAAAAACTGTGAACCTGAAGATAGAATTGGCTTGTAGGTGATGTCGCGAAGAGTTATAGCGTTTATGCATAATATCTTAAAGCGGAATGGGTCTAGTTTATAAGAAAATTTGATACACATTACCGCATGCTGACCAGCTAAAATATTTCGGCAGATATCTTGTAAATCTAACTTGGAAGCGGCAATTTGTCTAGTACACTTCACACCGCAATTCTTTCCTACAGTACTTGTTACGATTAGTTGTGGACTCAAAAGCTTATCAGCATAATGCTCAGTTGCCTTCTTGAGTGATACACAAACATTCTGCACTACATAATTTATTTCTTTTTGTCCGTTAACTCTCACGTATTTCTCCATTCGTAATGATAGTATAAAAAGCTGAAAATGCATTTACCCAGGTGCATAAAGCCTATTTTGACTTGACTAAACTTGCCTAAGCACGATGTAGGTCATCCAGGAAGAGTTGGTTGCATGATAAGAAATTTATTAATAAACATTAATAAACATTAAGTTGATAATTCGACAATGCCAGCTAATTGGATACGCGCTATTTCGGGTCAGCGGAAGATTAGTGAAATGTCTAAAAGGTGTTACACTGGCCTGGTTAACCATCTTATAAACGCTATCAATACGTCGGTTGTTTCGCTGGTGAGGTCTAAAACTAACGAAACCTAAACAAATTATTGAGGGACAAGAAGAGATAAAATGGTACTGAGAGGATCTAGATGTCCAACCTATCAAGGTGTCAGTCATTTCACACAAGCGGAAGACAAGTGTGCAAGTAGCTAAAACGAAAATGAAATGGGGAGGGAGGAGATAGCTGCATTTGCATGTCGAGCCAGCCAATTCGCTTGCAGAAACTCTTGATTCAAGAGAGAAACGAAGCCGCAATCTAAACAATGTAGGCCGTAATGAAACCGATTTGCATTCCCAAACCATCTGAAATTATAAGTCTCATGTCACTACCAAGTTTATTCCCAGATATTAGTTCAGTTTGCCATCGCCTCAACCTATACGTCGTAGCGGTGGAGCCAAACAAAACCGAGTCACCTTAATGAAGACCAAGATGTGTTAAATAGAATAAACGAATGCATCTAGTTGTTAGTCCGTTAGTCTTATAATTCCAGTACTACTGAGATGTTTTCATCACTTGATTATCTTGCCATTTTCTTATTTTGTGTTTCATTACAGTCAATGTCTGCTACTATGATCACACGCCCGTTGTGGTGGCGTGGACTATGCTACCTACCAAATTGCTTTGTGTGTCATTCCCGGTGCACTTGCCCGGTTCGCAGACATGCCGTTGCGCTTTAAGTACCGTAACACAGTCGGATACGTAGTCCCATTCATCATTCGGATTTCACTTGCCTGCTGCATGTTTCCGCTGAAACTGTCCGATCCGAAAGGTAGCAGTGCTTACTCCTCTCAGCTGTTTCTCAACTGCTCCTCTACTTTACATTTGCTAGGGTAGGGTGTACTGCAAACAATGCTATTTATTAACTGCTCAGTACACAGTAGTGGCGAAACTTTGAAATAACAATATATAGTATACTGGAAGTTATTGTTGGGGTACTCCACGCTACTCCACGCTACGCTTCGATAGCCTCAGCGTTATTCTACAGGGCACAAACCCTATGCGTGTTAGAGGAGGACAGATAATCCATTTGAAAAAGGGGAACCAAATCCATTATATTGTGTTTTCGATGGGTTCCCCGAAGTATCTCGCAGACCGGCTAGTTTACTACCGATCTGGAAAACCACAGACGGCCGTTTCGTACTACTGGGACGAGTTAGTAAGGCACATTAGGAACCGAGCCCATCGCCCCTCGATAATGCTGACTTGCGTCGGCAGTTTATGCCGCCGTGCGATAGGGGAGGGCAGTAGATCATTAGCGCTTACAAGTTAACGACGACATACGGCTGGTCAAGCGCCAGCTGTAGAGGCTAGACCCACTGTCATGGCTCACAACGGAGCGGATCTGGACGCTTGGGATCACAGACAAGTGAGGGACCTTGGAGGCCGTTCGAAGGGACGGGACAAAGCGTGCATAAGCGTGACCTTCCAGCGGGGTTGAACACTACATTTAGCACTGGCGCATTCGAATGGCCCCGTCCCCAAGGAGAGAACTAGTAAGTGCGTCTATAGAACTCCTTGTATCGAATCTGCACATGTATATATAGGTCTAATTGGAGACAGATAGGTTAACGGATTCCAGGACACAGGGGTACCTGATGTCCCTCGAGTAACGAGCGTAAATCCAAACGACTGATGAAAGTTTTGGCCATAGCGGTGCAGATCTTATGCACAACGCACCAGATCGACTTGTATAATTTCGTGTGCATTATGAGAGTGAGCAGCGATCCAGAGATTGCCAAGGTGGTGGAGGTTGCCAACGCCAACAGCCAGTGATCAGGATAGAGAGGGTACGACACTGATGTGCATAACGAGCTGCTTTAATCCGTGGTTCTGATGGCAGGCAATACGTGGGTCCGTTTGGAAAGAGAAGATTGGCCCGATCATTATTACCAGGGGCTTATCTGTCCACGTGATGGCGCACTAGGCGGCACTGGAACACCGGTACCACGCTGACTGAAACCGAGAAGGTGTTGTCCCGACCTGTGACTGTAATAAAACCTTGATGCATGTTCCTGTTATCGTGACTATCGTCCTCGTGCGCTATAAAATGCTGCTCCAGTTGTATAGTGTTTCCTCTGGCCTTATGTGGAAAGCCAAACGTTGCACAACTACCCCGCCAACGGATTGTTGCCAAATCTCTTTAGAACTGTATACTTTATTTCCTTTTCAGTAGTACGTTAGAAAGTCGAAGGGATCTTCGCCTACGTAGTGGCTTAATTTTGCCCAACCAGGTTTCGAAAACCCCAGTCACGTTTGCTATCTGGAATGTAGCCACAACGTTGGTCGGATAGGTTTTCAGATGAAGTTGGTGGTGTAGTATATTCGGTTGGAATATCGCCGGTACTGTTTCTCCTTCCGAACTTGTCAGCCTTCGGATGTTGCCCCGGTTTGTGTGGGCTCTCCACCTTGTCCGTAAGTAAAATCGACTGGACCACACATTACATATGAGTTAAGTTATGAGTTAGGTCCTAATGAAGTCTGTCACTACCTCCTGAAACGTAACCCCAACAAAAACGGAAGGACCACCAGCAGAAAGTGGCCACCCAATACAACCGACCGAAATGCTGCCGGAATTTTCCCCTGCTGAATTCGTTAACCTTGTAATCATGTTCCGATTTATGCCATTGCTGCGCACAGGTTACACATTTTCAAAATAGCATAATTGTCGTTGAATTACTTCAACACTCACTGATATCGGTTTTACTGTCACAGCTGTGGTGAAGAAACTACTCTCACTGCACATACACCTCTCCTGGAATCGGCTATATTCACCCAAAAGCGCTGAAGATAGCAGAAACATCGGTGGCCGGACCATTATCGCATCTCTTCTAAACGTGCTTGGATAAAAATTTGTGCCTACCATGTGGAAAGATGGCTTAATCACTCTACTTTTCAGAAGCGGTTATCACTTGGAATCCGCCAACTATGGCCCAGTGGTTCTCCTTCCTATGCTCTCAAAGGTGATGGAGGCAATAAGTGCTGAGGTTTTAATAGACCATCCAGAAGGCCGAAACATCATAGCACCCGTTCATGCACTACCAACCTACTGGTTGCACGCAGTACTTGGACGGTGGCGGCCGATGAAGTCGGAGAGACAGATGTCAGTTACCTCGACTTCTCCGAAGCACCTGACCGACTGGACCACCGCATTCTGCTTTACGGGCGTGAAAGCTATGGGGTTGTTGATCCTCTCCTTGGGTGGACCAGGAATTTCCTGCAGGATCAGTAACTGCAGGTCAGCTTTCGAAGTGCGCTGTCCGATCCGATGTATGTCGAATGTGGAGTTCCACAAGGATCAGTTCTGGGGCCGCGTCTGTTTCTCGTGTTCATTAACGAGCTTACGCGTTTGATTGCTTCAGATTTCTTGCTGTTTGCTGATGAAGTTAAGATGGGGCGGACGATCACCAACCCAGCAGGTCACGATGCATTCCAGCGAGACCTGGACGGAGCGTATGAGTAGTCCCTCCATAATCTGCTCCAGTTCAATTCGGCGAAGTGTAAGGTGGTTCACATTCGCCACCAGTCGTACCTTTACCTACAGGCATGGCGACCATGTCCTGCAAACAGTCACTCAGGAGCGCGACCTTGTGGTACTGGTTCTGGCTAATTTGGGCTGCTCAGAACAAGCTGAGAAGGCGGCAAAGACTGGGAACCAGCAGGTTGCAATGATGCGGAGCGCATTCGGTCGGTTGGATCCCTCTGTCTGCCCGCAGTTGCTTAACACCTACTTGCGGCCTCGTAGCACTGGCCCAAACAAGACGTTGCAGCGCAGGAGACACCACAGTGACCAGCCACGAAGCACGTAAAATTGTTGTTCAATCTTCCTTATCAACTTCGACTGAGGAACCTAAAATTATACATCGCCTGGTATCGGCACCTAGGTGAAGACCATATTATGCCCTACCAGATTCTAAGGAACCCCAACCACCTTTGCTGCCACCTATTACAACTGAGTCACAACACGCATTTGAGGGGCCACCAGTTCAAGTTAGCCACGCAATATAGTAGGCTAGAATGTCGACGGAACTTTTACTCTCTTCGTGTGTGCCAGCCATAGAACGTCCCCTCAAATTACGTTGTTTCAGACCCCAATTTACCTGTTTATAAAACGCCTTGACGTTGCGCCAACCTATCTACATTAAGAGATATAGCCTGTGTGTCTCGACAGACGAGATAATGCGACGAACGTTGCACAACCAGAACTAACCAACACAACTGAAGTTGGCCCTTTCTGCATGCCTCTGTGTTAACACTATGGTGTGTCCACCAAGAGGATTTTCATTTTAGCGCAATTTTCTATTCTCCATGTTGTGGTTCCCATTCTGGCCATCCTACGGGAGTAGCTAAGCATCCGCCTTTTTCTGCCCGCGAAATACCATTGTTCCATCTTGTTTTATGTGACATGACTCCCTCTCATAGATTGCTGACAAGATGCAAACATACATTGTGTTCACCATCTCACACGAAATCCGGGTATAAGGACTTACGTATGTGAAGTGTGGATAAAGTAGTGAGTCTATAGATGCGCGGTTCCTCTTGCGGTCAGCTTAGTTTGCTGCTTACAATCTAAAAAACGTGATCCTCAGCAGTACGCCGTGCCGACGCTTCACTGCCGTGCAAGAACCACAGGCCACACGTGGGTTAGTGATATTGCGAGGGTCGCCCGATTCCTTTCCAGACTCGAACCCGCGCCCTCAGAATACAAGGCAGGCTTGCGACCCTTAAGGCTACGAGCCAGCGCTTGTGAGCTAATTGTGATGAACCAAATAAAACCTTTTTTCTTTGAAATAATGTATTTCACACAGGTCACCATGCGGGACTTAGCAAGCCATACCTTTCTCACTCATATTATACCATTGTTTGACCTTTGCTGGGTGACAACCTGCGCAAAAAAGCGTCGTATTCACCGGCGCCCGCATACGTAAATTGATTACGGTGCCCAGTTCGCAGATGCGCGGATAACCTCGTTCTTAACGTTCTCCACAATAGTTTTTCATCTGAGCAATATTCAGCTTTAAGCTTTTCTCCTTGTCAGACCATTGGTCCATAGCTGGCTGTACTGACGTGTTGAACCGTTTACCACTAATGTTGCAACTTCGTGGATAAATTCTCTTCTCATCCACTATTGTGCGTGTGTCGGTGGAACTCTAATTCACGGAATCAGTAATTTTAGTTCTGTTATACCTCTATCCGACTGCATATCGGACCCAAACTATTTGGTGTGACGAGTACCGTTGCGCTGTGTTTACTACCTCTTCTTTCAATTCACATTTCAGCGATCGTTACTGGAACCTATACCGCTTCTGGCAAAACGAAGCCGATCGACGTCGAGGGTTTCTATATTGAAGACGACTTCTTATCGACAGTCACCGAGTATACATTGTTGACTCAGTCGTTGCGCACAAAACACTTTATTTCCGAGCAGAGGTACTCCTACTTATTTTTTACCAACTATCTACTTTTATTGTCTTTCATTTGCTCGCCTACGTGCATACAGACACACACTAGTCTTACTCGTGCCCTATTGCTTCTGCTTCCGTTAGCAAAAACGGATGTCTTCCACCCACTTTGAAACCCTCTGCTTAGATGGCTTAAGTTCGTCAACATCTAAATAGCTAGTCGGCTGACGCAAACTGGCTTGTGCGATCATACATTCACAGACAAAACAGAAGTGTACATATTTATTATTTTATCCTTTTTAAATACTTGATGCACCAAGTAACTGATTTTCTATGGTGACCAGCACCACTTCCTAACCAGTTCGCATATCAATCGTACTGCAACTTGTATTGTCAAATTCTGTGATAGATCTTTATCGTGAGATTGTAGTTCATACAATAAAACCGCTTGTCAAGCTTCCATCTTCTTTTGGAATTTCGTCTATCTCGGTCAACGTTCTCTATGTGTGCAATCACCTGTTAGGCTGTAGGCGAGGGAAGATTTTCCTTTGTACAAATACAACTTACCTTGTGGATCTGTTACCATGTCGACAGTTTGTTTCCCGTTTCGCTTCTGTTCCGTCGCTGCCCTTAGTTAAATTGATGAGTAGATAGCACTGCCAGTTAGCGGAAGAAGAGCGAACAACATCCGACGGGTAGTTTATGAGAGTACGGTTCTGGTATAGCGCTTACTTGTCTGGAAGAACTGTAACAACTAACAACTTCCTCAAAATGCGTAACCACCTCTGCAGCAATAACACTTTGATTACACTACTGAGAAATGTATGGTATTATTGAACAAGGATTCAGGCAATCGTTACCCGATATGCATCTCGATGCTTCAGCTCGATCAGTAGTCTAGTGATCCAAGTATGAGGTTTGTGATCCACATATGTTTATTTGGAGTCTACGTATTTTCGGATGATCTCGGGTGCACGGGACTGCTGCTAGTCCCGTAGCAGGAAGGCCTCTGTACTGACTGAGTATTGGGGCGTTGTTGATGCTTTTACTATCGGCAGTTCACTGTGCTGTGATAGCCACCAGAAAACCGGGATCCGCACGTGAACCACAAGCCAAGGCGACAGGAACAGTTCGCTACTATGCATTCATTAAGCCATTCCGTTAGAAAACAAATATTTTATCACAGATGGCTGGCAACAGTATAGACAGGAAAAGCATTTGAGAAGTGAACTCCTCGTAAGTGTCACCCGCCGCGACTCTGTGGTTGAGAAGTATTAGGTTCCGCTGACACCTCAACGTCCTCAGTCTGATCCGCTGTCTTGCTATCTCGTGCTATAATAATAATAATACATAATGATAATAATGGGTATTTTTCTCTTTAAGTAAAAACCTGCGTCCATGCTTGGTACAAATCAGATATGTACAACTAGTGCCAAGCTCTTGCATTGGCAATATGAAGTTCAAATAGTGCACAACCGGTCGTGCAGGGGGGTATTGCGAACAGCAACCCCAAACATCGTAATCATCGTTTCTCGGTTAGGCACTTCAACTTCCCATGTTAGCATCGCAACCTTAATGCGCAAACTTGCTCAGCAGTAGGATAGAAATGTCATAAGCGTATGACGCCGTTCGGCGTGCCATCTGGTGTAAAGAAGCCTAAACCAGGCAGTCACGTGTTCACCCATCTCATCACGTGCTGGCACACCGATGAACCTGCACTTTTCTTGTCTCGGTGCACCAATAAACGCATACGCGGTATAAGGATATGTAGCACGTGTCCGCTCCTAGTAAAGACTTTTCAATTCGATGTTTAATCCCGCTACGCTACCTTGTGACTATTGCCATCTGACATTGATGCGTACGAGACAACTCGAAGTACTAGTGGCTCGGGTTGCCTGTCAGCTCAACAGCGGACCACTGTACTTAACATTTTCCTTGAAGTCGTTTTGTCACCAAAACTGGCATCGTCAGTACCAAAGCGTTGGCAGATTAACTGTGGGTTAACCTACGACTAACCTCCGTAGTCAATTCTCCAACGGGTGGTGTCAAATTGTGGACAGACTTTATAATCCAACCGCCTCTCTCGGAGATTAGCTCAACAGCCTCGTCACGTAGTTTGAAATCTAAATAGAAATCATTTCGCGATCATGAAAAAGTTTCCTTCAAACACCGTTAGCTGAGTGTAACCAATTTAACTTTAGCCTTCGTAGTTAAATAACCGTGTTAACTACAACACCACCAATAACGCCGCTTAAAGCCAAGGTAGACGAATCTGTCTACCTCTTCCTAACGCATTGATTTCAGTTCAAGCGATTTGTGGCCAACCGTTGACGTCCTAGAAATACTGGTCTCGAAACCCTGTCATTTCGGTTATGTGCTCCAACTGAAACACTTAACGGACAGTACGTGGAGTCAAGGTACTCAGAATTTTACGAATCGCTCTTGTCGTTTTTAGTTAATGATTCTGAACTTAAATGTTTTCGTCCTAAGAGCTCACAAGCTACATAGCACAGCCTAGACCCGTAAAACACTAGGCACGTTTCGCCCTAATGGAGTTCGTCAGTGGTGGGAATTCCCTCGGTCCCCTAATGGGGACGGAACCCATGACCGCTAGAGGCAGACGCCAACTAGCCAGCAGCTTAAGCCACTGGAGTTTATCGGTTTTTAATTAGTGCTCTTAAGGCGGCATACTCGTCCATCATTTCCACATTCTTTCATACCACTACTGTTATTGGCTTTATTTTTAGATGAGCGACTCTCAAACGTCTACAACATGCCGCTTGTGCATATATAGCACCAGGAAAAAATACTGCATTTTACGAGGCAAATTAATCAAAAGGCCCACATATTCACACAGTTTTCAATTCGCTACTTGTTGTTCGGTAGTCAGTGTTACAAACATGTCCTTTCGTGCACACTGATTGGGTTCAAGTGGTATTGTTTGTCCACAACTGAGTTCAACTGCGCTACTTGTCAGTAGTATAGAAATACCAAAAGACGCAAAAATAACAGGTAAAAAGTGGACCATGCAAAGGACGCATTAGAAGAAGCACGCTTAAGAGTTACAGATGTATGCGTACTGAAACTAGATGCAGTAGCAATGCGAAACACACTGCCTCCAGGACAGGGTTCGTGAATGAGTTAATTCTAGTGATTGGCCGTAGTTGCCACAATAGATGACTCCGTTCGCACTTTGGTTCTTGCAGTACTTTCAGGAACCCCTCATTCCGTCTCAGACCGTGGGTACCGCATAAAGCGTTGATTACGTGGAACATGGACGGTTGGTTCACACAACGTGGCTAACGGTTGGGTTTTGCTGGCGCCCCATATGGCACAGTGTTGGCGCTCATGGGCTGCGTCCTCAGAGCGTAGTGGAAGCAGTTACGTGTGTAACGGCCTTCCTGGTCACCCACAATCACATGCTGAGCAATTCTTTCTCAAACGTTGAACTCTTTAATATAAATTGACAATGGCCATGCGAGCGGCTGGACTGAGGATATGAGGGTTAAGACCAACACGTTGTTGCAGATACCGGTTACGCCGCGAGCTTTCTGCGTGCCACTGAGAATTTCTAGCTTTGCGGAAGTAATTAGCAAAGGTAGCTTATCATAACCGGTAATTGCAATGTTATTTTAAGCCTTGGAAAGGTAGGTGTTTTCTATGTTCCTACTTTTAGCTGAAATCAGCGATGAAGGAGACCGGGTGCTCATTTTCCACGTGGATGGTTTTAGGCAGCCGCAAATTTAGTTCTAGCTTGCCACGGAAGCAGAATTTCTTTGGGCTGTCAAACAGTTTGCAGTAATCAATGCTTATATCAACTAGGGAGTAAAAAGTAGAGATCAAATACAGCCACTTCTACTTAGGATTGCGAGTACGCCAACTGAATTGGACAAGCATTGATATAGAAGAATGGAAATTTGCCCATAAGTGCATATAAGTGCATTTTTGGTCTATTTCGCACGTAGTGGATCACCGTTCATGCATTAAAACTAGGTGGGACTTCACATTCAAAAGCAATGACATAAACGCTCGGTTTTGGAAATTTTTACGACACTACTCCATATACATCGCCTTGTGAAGGGGAACTGGCGCGCATTCAGTGCCCCACCTCAAAGTAGCGTGGGTGGGTTAGAGAAAGCATTTTAAAATGTGTTTGTGCCCTCATCATCAGACCTTCACAATTGTTAACATGCAATTATTGCACAAGTTGATTGGTTGGACCAGCTTGAACCAAGTCTTATCCTACTTTGACCAAGTGCCAGAAACCAGCGCATGCCGCGTTCGTCGGTTGGAAGACGATAATTTCCGACCCGCCGTTAGCATAGTTACCGCTGTCCATGTTGCTGATTACTGGTTGAAAGCAGCAAGTAGATGTTTCTCTGTGTAGCTGCATCTAATGTCACTCAGGGACAAAGACCCATTATGTTATGGTGCGCTCGATAACTTTTATGCCAAAAAAGTATTTCTCCAGGAATTTCTTAAATTCCGACATCAACTTGGATTCAACTACGTGCTGCGTCAGGTCGTTCCATACATTCACCACTGCGTTCGAAACAGAGTTGGTGAGCGGCCCGCTTCAAATCCAACACGACAAGCTTGTAACGGTATCCTCGTGTGCTGCTTGGTGTGCGCAGATGACGCAGCGGCCTCAACACGGGGTAATCTCCCAGATATAATATCTGGTTCGTCGTGATGAGGTCGACCCTCAGTCAACGATAAGCTAGGGTGTAAAACCCTACTTTATTACACCGGTCTTCATACGGTGCAACTCGCAAGTTGGAACTCAGCCTGGTGGCTACGCTATATGCTGCACTCGCTCAAACTTGCTACCACGCCCCGGGTGACAGGACAATACGCAGGAGAGCCATACTCTAGCATTAGTCGTATAATTGAGACGAAGAGGCGAGTGGCAATCTCTTCGGACCAAGTGCTGAAGCTGTGCCTGAGCGCCAAAAGCATACAAAGGCTGTTTTGGTAAAGCCTATTTGGGTTGTTCATGGAGTTTAGGTCGCAGCTTAAGTGTACACCGAGGTCTCGCACGGAAGGCACGAGATGCAACGGTTGACTGGCCACCGTGTAGGTTCGACTGTGCTCACACTTACCCAGCCTCATGAATTGCGACTTGACCGGGTTGATCGGAAGGTTGACCTCTGCAGACCACGTGGAGAGGCGGTCGAGGTCTTGCTGAAGCAGGTCACAATCATTGGGTGTGCGGATTACTTTTCACACCTTTAAGTCATCTGCGAACAACGCACAAGGTGATTGGAGTAGCTGAGGCATATCGTTTACATGGATGAGAAACAAAATCGGCCCCAGTACAGTGCCTTGGGGCACGCCACTGCTCGATGGATACCAGTCGGTCAAATGGTTGTCCACCTGGACCCTCCACTTTCGATCAACAAGGAAATTCTTGATCCATCGATGCAGTGAGCCGCCAACACCGCACACCGTCAGCCTGTCGAGGAGCACTGCATGATTCACCTTGTCAAAAGCCTT